TGAATTATTCTTTAAACTACAGTCAGGACAACACAGCTATGACAAGCTGTTTTTAGGAACTAAATCTGTATAAAAACATAAGTGAGATTGAAGTGTAAGAAGCGTGAGACACGCTTGCAAAGGCCTTTTTATCCGGCTTTTCTATATCGGACAGCGTATTTCCCAAGAGAACTATTGGTGGGAGGTTCTCATTGTATATCTGTTTCACGGATTTAGGAGTGTGCACTTCAAACCTGTGAAAAAAATTGGTTGATTTAAGCTGTAATAGCTTGAATATGCCTGCTTCAAAGCGAATGACCGTTAGTTTATTTAACAACAGACTCTCTTGCGCAATAGACCTCAAAAGCTTACCAATATTTCAATTTTCTGTAGATTGAAACTAACCCAGTATGCACAAAAGAAGTAACTTCAGTGTTTTTTTGTCAGTACAGTAGACTTAGCCTCAAAGTTGGAAAAATTCAAATTTATCACAAGATTTTTTATGTTTTTTTTTTGTACAACATACACAATCTGGTGTCGAATAAGGCAGCGGCCTCTAACTCTATTTCAATACTTTTCTGGTATCGTCATACGAGCTATATGAAGTTACTTCATCTGTTTTCCACACAGCATGTCAGTATAATGCTTGGCGTTTTAGCATATCAGGAGAAAACTCGCTCTCTCTCCGTTCATGTGGTAATCCTCTATGTCCTCACCCTCCCCTCCCCCACGAAAAAGGTGTTGCAAACACAGGAAACCCAAATTTCCCAAATCTGTAACCCCTTGTATCTCAAGTTCATAYCTAACATTAACATAAATCATCGAGCCATGCAAAAACCTCATTTGAATACACGCCGTGCGTCTCTATTTGATTAGAGACTTTGAGTTGTWGTGTAGCWTCACTTTCAACGCGGCYTATATCGGGTGTTAGGTGTCTGTTAAAAAGAACCTCAATCAAAAATGRATCTCGATGACGTACAATTRCATAATCGAAAGACCAARAAACAACGAAGATGTCRCTGCATTGTTGCAATCCTTGTTCTGGTGGTTTTATTTGTCATTGGTATTGTTATTGGATACTTCATCGGCAAGACGCACAAGTCAGACTCGGATGAAAAASAACACCAAGCAGCCAATTCGGAAGCAATGAGGAAAGAGAATCAAAAACAACTGAGAGATGCAATGGATGCCGAGGAAATGGAACAAACGGCAAGGTTTGTGCATCGTGCAGATCGCGTGATATTCAATATCAGTTAGTGACCTCTTTTAAGTCAGCCATGAATTTTCGTTTCTTATGCTAACAAATGTACAGAGTAAACAAAGGAGGTTTTTTGTTTCGTTTTGTTTTGTGCTTTTGTTTTCGTTTCGTTTTGCTTTGCTTTGTTTCGTTATTTGTTTTGTTTTGTTTTTCTCTTGTTTTGTTTTGTTTTTTGTTTTGTTTTGTTTTGTTTTGTTTTGCTTTGGTTTGGTTTGGTTTGTTTTTTTGTTTTGTTTTATAAACTAGAGCTGTGAACGCACTTAATCCGTGCAACTGTACAAAATCTAAGTAGCATTAATTTGTACTATAAAAGTGGACCTGAACCAAGACGGTATTGAATGCTTCATTTGTATCAATTCAATTTAATTTGAGTATCGCATGCAGGATCTACTAAATACACCTAAACATCACTATTTAGTTTGTACAGTTGCACGCATTAAGTGCGCTCACTCTATGCATGTTAGTTAGAGTGAAAACACTTAATCCATGAAGCTTGAATGGTTCAAAATAGTACTAAACTAGGCTAATGCCTTTGTTTTTAATTGTCTAATCAACACTATTTAGTAGTAATTAGTATTATTTGTTTCACGGTTTTATAGTAAGTTAACTCTATGGTTAAATAAAATAATAAAAGTTTAGTTCTTTAAAATAACATATTATAATAAAAAGAGTATAATAAATGGTTACAATAGTATTAAAAATATATATATACACTAATAATACAAATTCAAAAGAAAGAAAAAAAATATACATATATATATAATCAACTACTAATAAATCTATAAAGCCTAAAATCAAACAATAAACTAAAAATCAAACATCGGTGGTAACAACATTGAGTCTATGATCATTAGTRAAGTCTAAGAACATATAATTGAAAGAAATTGTAAATTGACCCCTTTTTTGTTTTTGAAAGGCTCTTTTCGAAGCGCCCTCACATAGCAGGGAGCGAAAGGCAGAAAGAATTAGCAGAGGAACTGGTTAAACGATGGCGGCGTGAATATGGATTCAACAAAGTTGACATGAGAGAGTATAAAGTCTTGTTGTCATTTCCACAAAAGGATAAACGTAACGTAGTTTCACTGAGATATCAAAATGGAACARTAGCTTTTCAAACTACTGGAAAAGCGAAGGTTTGTAGTTATAACGTTTGTGTAAAAATATAATATAAATTTAACACCGTAAAAAAGTAGGTGAAACAACTTACTAACGTTTTGGAAGTTAATCCTTTGTCGGATTAAAGTAAAGTCAGTAAAGTTTGTAGTTATGTCTCACTCAAAGAGTCTCATAATTTTGCCATTTTGGGATCCCTCTGGTATCCTCTTGGCCGAGTGGGGCAAAGGCCTTTATCTTTTGCTGGGTCACAGTTTTCCTCGGTCATATTGGGGAAGACAGACGGGGTGACCTACGTAGCACGCAGTTGATGTAATGTATTCATAWAATGTATTGTATTCCATTGTTTCTCGTTCTATTGTATTATGTGTTTTGTATTATATCTTTATGAATATATTACATCAACTGAGTGCTACGTAGATTCTCCCAAGACAGACTTTCCTAAACTCCTAAACTCGTCCTCTAAAAGTGCCTCTCATGCATTATAGATTGCAGAGAAGAGTGAAAATGACACAGATGTGGTGCCGCCATTTCTAGGCTATTCCCCTAGTGGTACGGTCGAGGGTGACCTGGTGTACGTGAACTACGGTCGTTTAGAAGACTTTGAACTTCTAACCAAGAAACTCAATGTGACGGTGGATGGAAAGATTGTCATCGTAAGATATGGAAAGATCTTTAGAGGATCCAAGGTAAGGACAGTTTGATTTTCAAACTCCATACTATCCTTCAAAGGTCGAAAGCACTGTCACTACTATGTCACCCCATGATACGCCATTCCAAGCTCCTGAGTTCCCGATTCCATGACAAATTTCTTAAGGATCCTGGAGTCCACCATATTGGGTTAAACTGCAAAGCATCCTAGCTTTTATTTTCGACAATGACTCGTTTWCAACGAGGAAACATTTGAAGTCAATAATTTGGATTATTGATTTYTCTTGTTTCGTCCAATTCTGTTGCCATTACTGCGGATGCCGGATTCAAAATATCTCGATTCCGGATTCCATATTTTTTCCCGAATTACGGATTCCGTGTCATGATCATGATGGGCCGATACGTGAAACAGTTCTTAAGCCTAATATATAGCAGATGCGGCCTAATACTGCTATACTGCTGTTATATGGTAAAAACTTTTTATTTGAAGTTAAGCTTTTGCTGTTCTACAGCATCATCAGTTCTAAACATTTTTGACCTATTATGAGGGATTTTAATCTACTTTTTTGAATATAGGTGAAAAACGCGGCGACGTATGGAGCAGTCGGCGCCATTATCTACTCTGACCCACAAGCTCGTGCACCCTTGGGACCCGAAAACACATTCCCTAAGACGCCTTTCCTTCCCCCTACTGGGGTGCAGAGRGGATCTATCTATACCCGACATGGATTGGGCGATCCTCTAACCCCAGGACGTCCTGCTATACCCGGTGTATACCGGATACCAATCAACGATAGTGAGCTGCCAAGTATMCCTGCACATCCGATGTCGTATGGAGATGCGGTTCATTTTCTATCGAAGCTTCAAGGTATGATGTTTTTAAAATAACAATAAAAGTAATGGTCTGTGAATGAGAATGACCGCGAACAAGAARCAGAGAGCAGACTCGTACCCAGTCGTTACACGTTATTTTTCGATACGCTCGAAGGGGTTGATGGGAAGGAGTCGCCCTTCCCTTCATGCATTGCGCGCCGCTCGAGAGAATCGACTGGGTAGGAGTCTGAGAGAGAGGTAGAACCTCGTTAGTCTKACCATCAAGGAGACCACCAAGAGTGACCGAATTAACGGGTTGGCCGTACCGACAGGACGGAAAGGWACAGGGACTTGATTGGACGGGATATKGAAGTCTGACCATTATAGCGGGGTTGACCGCGTAAGTCGGGGTTCCACTGTAGGAATTCAGTGTTTGTTTGATAGGTGTTTGTCTTGCTYGTTAGACACGACTTTCAAAAAATSGCGRTTCGTTCACGACCGCCARTATYGGAGRACTAGTGAAGATCATGGAAACGACGCCTCAAAGGCCTTACATCTAAAAAACACTACGAAGATCGCATGTAGGCAGTGTCCAAAAGTTTGAAAGATGTTTTAATTGGATTTGTTAATTATAACAAAACACTCTTGCAAGGCACCATGGAAGTTTACTATACGGAGGTTTGCTTTTGAGACCTCGTTATAGTACTTCGTCCCCAGTGCCCAGGTCGGCGACCGTGACACATCGCGCCATTTTTGAAGTCGTGAATTCTTTTATGTCATTTACAACTTGGGCAACTCGTTTTAGGTGACGTAGTGCCAGATGATTGGAAAGGCGATCTCAACATCACCTATCGACTCGGCCCAGGCTTTTCTCAAGGGATGAAAATAAGATTAGAAATTCACAACAATTACACCGTATCCTCCATTTATAACGTCATCGGCACCATATATGGCAAAGAGGAACCTGACCGCTATGTCATGATGGGAAATCATAGAGACGCGTGGATATTTGGCGGAGTTGATGCTGTCAGTGGAACCACGGCCACCACAGAAGTCGCGCGCGGACTGGGTGTACTATTGAAAAAGGGTTGGCGTCCTCGAAGATCCGTTATCATGTGTAGCTGGGGAGCGGAGGAGTACGCTTTGATTGGCTCTGTAGAGTATGTCGAGGAGCACGCAAAGGATCTCGCCCTTAAAGCCATCACCTATATCAACATAGATAGCTCTGTTTCAGGAAACTGGGTCATGCGCATTTCCGGAAGCCCATTATTTAAAGAYATCGTGACGTCAGTGGAGAAAACCGTTGCTGACCCTAATGCGCATGACGATAAGCAAACACTCTATGACATAATGGCGGAGAGAAATCCAACGCCAGATAACAAGGCCAAATATGGTGATATTGGATCTGGAAGTGACTTTGCTCATTTCTACCACTACGTTGGAGTCCCAGTGATGGACTTTGGATACTTTTTCGGATTTAATAATGCAACGACGTTTGGATACCCGGTCTACCATACCCAACACGATACTYACTATTGGATGACAAAATTYATCGACCCTAAATTTCTCTTCCATAAAGCGATAGCACAGTTTGGTGGRACTGTGTTGCTTGAAGTAGCAGACGCTCCCCTCTTGCCTCTAAATCTCGTGGAATATACAACCAAGTTGAACAGCTCTTGGTATTCTCTGAAAGACAACCAAGACCTCAAGAAACAGAAGATTTCCCTTGAACACCTTGAGGAAGCGATAAATGGCTTCATGAAAGCAGCTAACGAATTTGGTAAGAGGCTAAATGAAGCCAGGAAGAAAGTGGACGAGATGAGTTATGCTGAGTTAAGGCGAATGAATGACCAAATTATCCAGGTAACAGAAATACTATTTTACCAATAAACCAGCCAGCATATTGATGAGTGCGAATATATCACAAGCCTTTTCCATATACCAAGATTTCTCTGTCCCTTAATTTTTGATTGCTGTAGTACAAAACTGATTTTACATGGACGAGATTAGAGAGTTTTGAAAGCAATACTAAAGTTTGGTTAATTTTGGATTGAACTTACAAAGAAACATATGTCTGTGCATTTCTTTATAAAATGAAAAACATTTTCGGGGTCTGAAGGTAAATATTTGTATGCCAATTATTAATTCTTAATTCGTGTCTTATTTTTCCCCAATATTCATTGTATATATTTTTGCTATTATTCATTATTGATAATGACATTTTTGACTTTCTTCATTATTCATTATTCTTTAGGAGTTTTATTGAATTATTCATTTTCCCAGTCAATTTGAACCGTTCTTCACTATTCAATATTCACCTTCAGACTCATAAATGTTCAAATTTTTCTTTAACTTCTTTTTTTTCAAATTTTCAAATTATTTCTTTTTGATTCTCATTGCACAGTTTCTTGATATGACCGTTCTCTCTTTTTTATGAGAGTTTCGTGTCTGCTACAGTCAAGATTCATCATGTTTTTTCTATTCTTGTTCACAGGTAGAGAAGTCCTTCATCTACTCTGATGGTCTTTACGGCAGAAAACTCGTCAAACATGTGATTTTTGCGCCGGAAATGCACAATGCCTACGCGGCGTCGAGTCTTCCCGGCATCAACGACGCTATCTTTGATGCTCGAAATAACGGAAAATGGTTYGARGTGGAAAAACAAATCTCGATTGTTATCGAATGTCTTCATGCTGCTACGGAGGCCATACARCCCTTTGGAAATTAATCCAACCTTTTRGTTACACAGTTTGAGCGATATGCTGTCAACCTTAAACAAGGGAGCAAGGCAAAATGTGTTTTCCTTCTGTTTTCGAATTTCTTCGACAAACGTCTGCCATCTTGAATTTTCCGCCATTTTTTTTTTCTTTAAAGATTAACATACATTTATCAGAAATGAAACAACATTTTAAAAAACAGGTTAGCTGCTAATCTTAAAAGAAAACAAAATGGCGAAAAATGCAAGATGGCAGACGTTCATCGAAGAAACTCGAAAACAGAAGGAAAAACTTATTTTGCCCCGCTCCCTTGCCAAATAGCGAAAAAAGTTACTAAAGAAAAAGTGGCGTTTTCTAGTTTTCCAAGTGATTTTATTGAATGCCTACAACCTCTGTTTACATCCAATCCATAAATAACAAATACACTTTGTGCTAATTTTCAAATTTTAGTATTCACAACGTCATTAGAAGAAAAAGCCCATTCCACACTAACTCCTTTTATAAATATTTACGTAATGRCGTCATAGGTTTAGTTATGACGTCACTGGTGTAAGTTAAATATATATTTTGTTTCAATTTTGTTTAATAAGTTAAATATTTCTTCTGCTCGTATGTACAAAACACTTCTTAGCCCAACCACTATCCCCCTTAAATTCAGCCATAGCTAAAKGAAATGTACAGAGACGCCATTTTGTTCAACATAGCATGATGGGAGTTGTGGTCATCGCCCTTTTTCATGTCCGCTAAAACAGACCTCCTTAGTCATTTTTCGCCAGTCTTGGCTAAAAGTAAAAGTGTTATTTGTGCTGTTTCTGCAAAAACATAAAACAGCTTTATAGGGAGATTTTTAGGARCTGTAAAAAATGCAAGGAATGCAATTCCAATCCGTGCTTTATTCTACAAAATGGCGTCGCTACACATTGCTAATTATTTCTGAACGCTTTGCGCGCGAGCCTTGCCTTTTTTCTTTACAAAATTACCTATAAAACCTATTCTGTCACTCCAATCTCGCCAATATTTTCCCGTGATTGGARGATGTTTAACTTCCTTGCACTCTCAAACTGTTTAAAGCATTAAATAATAGTTTTTAGTTTTAAACTTAAATCCGTGAAACCYTTATCGCAATATTTTTATTATAAATGAATTGCATGAGTGAAACCAGATCAGTCTTTGTMAAGTGGACCTGCCATGAGAGTATAAAAATAACGTTTAACAGCAACAATACTCAAATAATGAAGGGTTTGGTGTTAAAATTAGTTTTAGTAATATATAATCTTTACAAATTTATTTGGACAATTTAATTTAAATTTATAATAATGTTAGATGAGAGAGCTTGCATTGATTTCCCTTCAGCTCTGAAAGAATAGCTATGTTATTGAAGTGGTTTCCTTCGACAATGATCAATACTAGTAGCTTTTGACATAGCTATGTCATACTTTTTTATCGTTTTGTTTTCTTTATGATTAACTAGTTTCTTTTCGACGGAATAYCATATGCTGCATTTTGTTCTTTATCAACGAACTGATAGATATTGAGTCGTTTTCTTTCACTAACAGCAAAACATTAAGTTCGCTKCTTGCAATTTCTCGCTTTTGAAGGTTTGCAACCACGCAAGCAAGAATCTAATGAGAAATTTTACAGTTTTACAGTCAATTTTACAGTTCCAAGTGCCATCTTGAAAGATAGCTGAACTTTTCGGCATCAAAGCGAGACAGTTGTTTAGCCTACAGGGATATATACCTTTCTCTAATACAATTATTCACAGGTAACTCGAATATCAATCTAAACCGCTGTCCTGCTTTGATGCAAAGGCTCCGATATCTTTCAAGATGGCGCTGAAAACTGTAAATTTTAGATGAAGTATTAGACCCAATGGCTCTCAGCCTCAGTAGACTATTTCAATAAGACCTCAATACCAAGTAGAACTATCCTTGTCTTAGTATCCACCGAACTTTAGATCAATTTTGAAATGGGACTATTAGTAAAAAGGACTTTTCTCGATTTCTTGGTAGTCAATAACGAATAGACAATACAGTAGTGCAAGAGAAGACTTTTCAGAATTTTATAATAGTCTCCTTCACGGTTACACGCGCCATCTTGAAAGGTAGCCGTGCCTTTGCATCGAAGCGAGACAACCGTTGAGTGTGCAATGATAGAAACCTTCTTTCACACCTGCAGACAATTATTCACAGGTTTCTATCATTGCACGCTCAACGGTTGTCTCGCTTCGATGTAAAGGCACGGCTACCTTTCAACATGGCGCAGGTAACCGTGAAGGAGACTATTCATTTAATAGCTAGAGTTTTTTAGATTTTACCATATATAGATCATATTTGCATGACGTTTCGCGCAATATAAGAAATATTATCATTAGTTATTATCATTGTTATTAGCAGCCAATCAGGATGGGGTTTGGTGGATACTAAAAATAGAATAGAGAGGCGAATTCRCCTTAAAATGAAATTTGTACATTTAAAACCCAGAAATGTTTTCCATATCAACCAATATATACATATATCTATACTTGACCGAAATGCTATTCTTGTAAAGGTACTATAGGATGCCACATCGCTACTGGCTTTCGYAACGCAGCAAGCATGTGACTCCAGTGTGAGAAGCCACTTCCGGTCACGTGCTGACCAAGCGTCACGTGACCTATGACTTCATCTTGCCCGTGTGACGTCTTGTTKACCACCAGGATTCGAAAYGTGATTTTTGGCARKGCATCTTGGGACACTTTGAAGGCGAATGCTTCGTTGTAGACTGGATTGTAGGTTTTTTTCTGCATTGCCGTCCGTTTGCGGCCTACTCTTCTCTTGTTCACGAGAAAGAAGACTTTTACTAATGGTCCTAAGGATAGCAAAATTATAGAATGGCTTGCGATATAACCCTTGAAACAATTAACAAATTAACAATAGGCCTTCTTTTTCGTGAAACGGTCAAATGGTATACAAAATTCGTAAAGAGTGTGTCAATTTGTGCGCAATTTATAGCCACAGGCAGTCGAAGCTAAGCATTTGATTAGCTCATTAGGCGATATCTAGAATGCATGTAAATATGGCATTTTTGATAGAAAAAATAAGTAAGAGACATTTTTCTTACTTCGTAATGTGGTTTTGAATTAAGGTGTAATTTGCCTATTTTCTTGATATCGCCCCCATCACTGAGGGGGAGATATCAAGAAAAACGGCAAACTACGCCTTAATTCAGAGCTAAAAACACATTACGAGATAAGAAAAACGTCTCTTTCTTATTTTTTCTATCAAAAATGTCATATTTACATTTATCAAAAATGTCATATTTATATGCTTCTAGATATCGCTAAATGAGATAGTCAAATGCTTAGCTTGGGCTGCCTGTGATCAGCCAGTGCTTTAATAATGACATCATCGAAATGTTGGACTACATTTTTGTTTGTGATGTCATTCTTATTAGAGTCTTGCAATTAGTTTATTTTGAATAACTATAATTAATCAAGATACGATATTATTAATACAGACGTCTACATCGCGCGCTAAAATCAAAACTTTGAGAAAGATATCACAAATTACTTGTAGAAATTCTTTACTGATGACGTAGCTTTGTATGTATAATTTCCTATGACTTTCAAGAATGGAAGTAGTTCACGACCGCGCCAATATCGGGGAACTAGTGACGAATCATGGAAACGACAACTCAAAGGCCTTCCATCTAGAAATCACTACGAAGATCGCATTTATGTTGTATCCGTGCAATAGTGTGAAAGTATTGGTATGTTATTTATAAAAAAACACTCTTGCAAGACACAAACGAAGTATACTATATGGAGGCTGGCCTTTTAGACCTTGTTTTAGTGCTTCGACCTCAGTGCCCTGGGCGGCAACCGTGACATATCGCGCCATTTTTGAAAGTTGTGAATATAAGAGGGCTTACCCCATAAACCGCTGATTGACTGGACTTTGAGTTTTCGTGCTTTAAGTACCACGACAGTAAGCCTTTGTGTTGTTGGGAAATAATTTAACGATAGAAGTACATCACCAACGTACTCGTGATCCACCTATTGATTATCAATTAATT